TGTGAGTGAAGCCATAATGCTAGTGAAACAGCTCCAGAGTCTTCTAATGCGTGGGGGATTGCGACTTCATAAATGGGTTTGCAACAATGAAACTGTACTGAATTTTATTGCACCAAGCGAGAAGGCCCCCTCTCTAGTTACTTTTAGTTCCACGGATTCGATGATTCAAAAAACTCTCGGTTTGTATTGGCACATAAAGAACGATTGCATTACATTTAAGGTGAATCTTCCTAATAGTCCGGCTACTAGACGAGGTATTCTTTCCTGCACAGCTTCACTATATGATCCACTGGGGTTTATTGCCCCATTGCTTCTCCGGCCAAAGCGTATGCTACAAGAACTATGCCAAAGCAACTGCGGCTGGGATGAACCAATTGACGCATCCCTCCAATTAATCTGGGAGAAGTGGAAGTCAGAATTGGCAACAGTTGAAACTCTATCAGTGCAAGGTGTCTTAAGCACATCAAGTGTAGCAATACGGCTTCAGTTCTGCATCTGTTTTCTGACGCCTCCGAGTCGGGATAAGGGGCGGTGACATATCTACAGTATGTTTCTGGGGGGGATTCTGCTCACTACTGCTTCATTATGGGAAAGTCTAGAGTTGCACCCTTGAAGCCAGTTACGATACCGCACTTAGAGCCACAAGCTGCCGTGCTCTCCGTTAAGATCTTGCAGTACATTGGGAAAGAAGCGGATCTACGATTCGACAACACATACCTTTGGACAGATTCAATGATCGTATTGCATTACATCCGGAATACCCAATCTCGATTTAAGACCTTTGTTGCTAACCGCGTAGGGTTCATACATGAAAACACGAAGGTGGACCAGTGGAGATATGTGCCCACAGGTGAAAATCTCGCAGACTTGACATCTAGGGGAATCAACGGGAGAGATAACATTAATCTTTGTAGATGGCTGCAAGGTCCCAACTTTTTGCAAAAATCAATCGCTCATTGGTCTCGTGGGGAGATGCATTGGACAGCGGACGACTCATCTTATATCGCGACCGAGATACAAGCGACTGTCATGACCACGACGTCTGCAATCCACCCTTTAGACAAGTTAATTTCTTACTATTCTTCATGGAAGAAACTCAAACGTGCCTGCGCATGGTTGTTGCGCTTCCAAAGATTTATTCTATTGAAGACAGACATTTCAAATACGAAGACATTGTTGTATGGAAGTTTGAATATACGTGAGTTGGAAGTCGCCGAGTCGGCACTATTGCGCTACGTCCAGCGGCAGGCATTCTCCGACATATTTGACGGTCTACTGAGGCACGCAAACAGTTTTGGGACGGGTGTGCTGAAGCGTTCTTCTATGCACAATCTGTGTCCAGTGATGAAGGATGGACTCTTAAAGGTAGGAGGGCGGTTGGACAACCTTGATGCAACGCAAGATAGAAAACGTCCGGTCATTCTACCCAGTCGACATCCAATTACGGACCTGATTGTTCGGCATTATCATTTGCGTGAAGGGCACATGGGACTGACGCATGTGTTGTCAGCCACTCGTGAGAAATTTTGGATCATAAAGGGTGCCTCGGCAGTAAGACGCACAGTTTCGCAATGCATTGGTTGCAAGGAAAGATCAGCTAAGCCTATAGAGCAAATCATGTCGACCCTGCCTGAAGAACGTACTGAACCAGACTTTCCTTTCGCCGTCACCGGAGTAGATTATTTTGGACCATTCTACATCCGTGATGGACGTGTGACTCGGAAACGTTATGGCTGCATATTTTCGTGTTTTAAGACTAGAGCGGTGCATATCGAAGTGGGGCACTCGCTTACCATAGATTCGTTCCTCATGGCATTCTCCCGATTCGTGGCGAGACGAGGATGTCCTAAGCGCGTACACAGCGATCGCGGTCAGACATTCGTCGGGGCAGAACTGGAAATGCGCCAGTTTCTAAGAGAGTTGGAGAAGGGAAAAATCGAAGATAATATGCTGACCCAGGAGATTGAATGGTGTTGTAATCCACCCTATGCGAGTCACCGAGGTGGTCTGTGGGAACGAATGATACGGTCCGTCAAAAGGATTCTTAGTGCCGTTTCACGGGAGCAGACTTTGACTGAAGAGTCCTTGATCACATATCTAACAGAAGTTGAACGCATCCTGAACAACCGTCCTCTAGTCCCTGTATACGATGACCCCGACACCCCTGGAACGCTTTCGCCTAGCTGCTTGCTGTTACTGAGGGAACCAAACGATATCATCGAAACCGAAATCAACCGACGCTATCGGTATACTCGTCAGTGGAGGCAAAGCCAGCTCCTCGTAGACACGTTTTGGCGACGCTGGACATCGGAGTACCTGCCCTTGTTGAATACTCGAAACTAATGGAGACAGGCGCGTAGAAACCTACGAAAACGAGATTTAGTTCTTATACTGGATGAAAATCGACCTCGCGGGACATGGTCTAAAGGTGCCGTAACGCATGTCAAACTTGGCTCAGATGGGCGGGTACGACAGGTAATCGTGAGATCCCTGAAACGACATGTTTTACGAGACATTCGTAACTTGTGTCTACTAGAAGGGGCCGACGACCAGTAGGGCAACCACTCGTGAGTAGGGCGCCATTCTGTGCGGCTTCTGCGATTGTGGCAAGAGTAAATAGTACCATTTTCATATGGGACCGTTCTGAGGGTGCGTGTAGCGAGTAACGTCATAGTGAAAGCCGTGCCGGCTTTGAGGGAGCGGTGTTGAATCTGTTTTACCGGTTCCTCCCAATGTTTCCATCCTGAATTGCCCTCGATCGCTTATTCACCGCCTTTGTCGATTAACTTTGATCCACAGTAGCTTATTTTAACATGAGCTTACATAGGCGCCCACGTTTGTACCACTTGACTCGATTCCTTGTTCACTTGGCATCCCACCTCCCCTATGTCGGCACCCACTGCTAATTCATGTTCGATCATGTGACCGTACAGTTGCC